TGAAAACGGAGGAAAGGATTTTTCCAGAAACGGAGAAAATTGATAAGTAAATCTAAAGTTATCAAAAAGTCTAAACTTATAAGCTCACGGGGGAAAAAAAAACAAAACAAAGCATGTTTAGCAAAGCAGATTAAATAATAATATGGACTCAGAATTTAGTGTGTTGACTGAGAGAAGAGTATTATGCGTAATGAAGAGCACAAGATGTGTAAGTGCATGTGGTGGTTCCAAGAAACATGTACAATCTTTGAAAACTTTTACCAAAAAAAAGGTTACATTTTTCGAAAGTAATGGAATAACTCTCTACATTAGATTTTGCGTATTAGATTCATTTTACTTATTTTTCATGATAAAATTCATTCTTGCAACCTATCGTGAGCGATAAATTATATTATTTATTACGTTTAACTGCATGAAATTTGTTATTTTCCATGTTTTAATTTTACTTTTTTTACTGTATTGGATGGTAGGTTTTTCTCAACTTCAAGGGAAAATGGCCTCTTGTAAGTTTAATTTAAAACTATCTTTTTCCTATTTTCTTTCCAATGTTACATTATTGTTTGCTAAAAATATGTTAAGTACATGTACGGGAATTTTAAATCTACATAAACATTTCTTGCATCTCTATTCTCACTACTTTTATTTTTATTGGAAAAAAACTATGTCTCTCTATCCTAGACCTACTCAAATATTAAAATTTTTGGGCAATTAACATTAAAGTGTGTTTTCGATATTTTGGTAAAAATGTAAGAAAAAGATTGAGCCTCGTTCTCAAGGAACTTTTCAAATATCGGAAATTGAAAAACTTATATGTAACCAGAAAAATAATAATTATTTATTCCTAAAGCTTTTGTTGACTTATAATGCTTTTAACATTGTAAAATTTCAAAATTATCGAATAAAAATTGCATTTTCTAGTTGTGACTTCCACTGTCCCTAAGGTATCAAATCTCTTTATAATAAAAAATCGTAATGGCTGCCAACCCTGTTTTGGGTGTTCAACTTAACGTTACACTTTGTTTTGCTACGCAAAAACTTTAAGACATAGCAATTTGAAATTGCGATGGCGTGTAGAAAAATGTATTGTGAGTTCAATGGAATAAAAATTCAACATTCGATAATTAGTTTGAAAATTACTAACTGTTAAACTTGTAAAAATACCATACTGGTCGCTCTACAAGACTCAAAGTTGAAACTTGTTCTGTGCTTTTGTGGAAAGTATTGCAGTTTAAGCGAAAAAAAAAATAGTGAATGAGGAGCAATTACGGGAATTGGTGAGCGGAGCGACCAGGAGAGCTTCCACTTTCTTAACACAAAGATTTTCTTTTGAGTTATTACAATGATTATAAAAATGTCCTGCATTCAAATTTATTACTGGGAAATTATAATTAATCTGTGTCTTTTTGATATTATCTTTATATTGGAAAACATATTTTTTTATTCAAATGGATGGAATACCGCAAGGATCTAATTTTTCGTTACTTCTGGCTAACTTATTTTTGTATTAATAAGAACAAACTTATATACTAAATACGAAATATGCTTTTAAATTTAATTATGATTTAATTATCTTTAGTTTTCACAATTATATAATTCTGTTAAATAATATTTACCCCTTCGAATTAATATTGCTTCGCAATCATGACGATTATATGAATTTTTTTCGATTTATGTTTTTAAAAAGTAATATATATCTGCATTGTTGACGTATACGATAAAAGGAATCATTTTAAGTTTAATGTAATTAAATTAATTGCATGGTATTCTAATGTTTCTAAAAACATTTATTTGAATATTATTTTTACTGAAATAAATAGAATTAAAACAATTGAAGTAATATTTATTTATCCAGAAAACAAATAGACATACTTTTCGAAAATTTGACTTAATACAGCAATTATTCAATAAGTGTAATTAAAATTTATACAAAATATTATTAGTGTATTAAAATTAATAAAATAATATAGTTATAATTTTCTTTTCCTATGTTGATTTATATTTTTGACAAGTGCAAATCCAAATCGAACCTTAAAAATTAAAATTAGATCCATACTTTATAGCAAATTGTTTAAAATTTTATAAATAATCAACCACCTTCTCTATAATTCAATTAAATAATTAATATTATCCAGTAAATGTTAAAAATTTCTATAAAAATTGTCCCACTACCCTTTAATTTTATATTTTGTGATCTGGCAACTTAGCTGAAAAATTATGTTTAAATCATTTTGACAAGTTACTCGAAAGTAGAGGAAAAGGAGGGGGAGGGGTTAGCGTGGACGTTTTTTAGAAATTCGTCAAAATACTGTATTGAATATAATTTTTAATTCATTAAGTATTTGTTTTAATAATGATTTGAACGTTTTCCAGTATTCTTTCTTACATCTGGAATTACAAAAATGTTTAGTTTTTCCTTAAAATTTAATTAAAAAAAGGCTGTTTTTGTCCCCACTAGCAGGACTAATGTGGACAAACTATGGGGCTAGTAAAGAAAAACTTGATAACTTGATAATAAAACTGGATCTAGAGCCAAATTGAAACTAATTGTAATCCAAGTCTTATTGGAGAGTAAATTTTAACATATATTAATTAAAATACAAATATATAATAGAACATTTCATTTTACTAATAAGACATTTTGAATGCAAATCAATTCCTTCGAAAAACCATTATGCAATTTGCTTTATTTGATAAATATTTTGAAATTAGTTTTTTATTGCATCAAAAAAATTATTTGTCAACTTTAAACGTGTATTGAGATGAGAGGCTGTTGTGATAGTTCCACCAGTTACCGGAATTTGCTAATTATTTCTTCTCTTAAAATTTGAGAAAAGTTATTATTATTATAAATTTTTTTTTTGATAAAAAGAAAGATTCATGATCAAAAGAACTATGTTCACTTCTCTTTTTTAAAACTTTAATTAAATAGTACATATTAAATTGAAATATTATTAAAAATAAATCATAACAATAATACATTTCAAATTACATTACTGCTTTTCTCAGAAGCTTTGATCATAGAACTTGAACAATAGTTACAACTACGATGCTGAAGCTTTCCAGAATCTTCCATCGCTAAATTTGCAATAAATCCGAATAAAAAAAAATAATGAAGATAGATATAAACAATGATAATAGGCACTTGCTAGAATGTTTAGTGTAGAGTGACGTCAAAAGTAATGATCGTCAGCTACAAGCCTTTTCTGTTGGTTGTGATGTCATGCAATTTAAAAGGCGTTTTAACCATAATTTGCTTGGTTTAAATGTGATTTAATTGGGATGTTTCAATGTAGCTTTTCAAGTTCTTTCATTTTAAATGATTTTGAAAATTATGCATATTTTCTGTTATAATTATTAATAATAATCTCGCAGCAATCTATTTAGCAATTACAAACCGCTAGAAATGTAAAACCTATTGCTTTTAAACGGTTATTAACCATTATTCTTTAAACAACGAAGAGCTTAAGTATGTCGCTTTACTTAAAATGTACTGTCTGAGGTTGCAATTGTTAATGTCCTGCGGAACTGAAATTTTCAATCGAAATTTGCTATTACGGAAAAGTCAAACGTGAGCTCCATCTCTTATTCTGTTATTCTCTCTTACAACCAATAAAATACTTGCAATCATGACTGCATGAAAGCATAATAAAAGATTAAAATTTTAATCGTAATTATCAGCAAAAAAGTTTCATTTATATACATTAAACTGCAGTTATAAGTTAAATAGTGCTGTTACTAGTTTTAATGAATGTGATAATTAAACTTTCCTCGTTTTATCGCTCCTAGTAATATCAAAGTAGGGTGAAATGAATGAAATGAAATTGGATAAAATGAAATGTTAGGTGACGCGAACTAGTTGTTTTCTTAAGTACAATTTTAATTCAATTACAAGATTTACAAGTAGTTATAATTAAAGACAACAATTTTAATCATAATTATAAGATACCATAATTCTTCATTTACAAATAATAATGATTTACTATTACAATTATGCTTGCATCAGATCTTAATTACAACTGCATTTTGTTGGTAAGTAATAGTGATTATGAGTAATTGCTTGTTTTAAATTACTTATTCACTTTTGCTACAATCATAATATCGTGGACATAATACCATAAATAGAATTTACAATATAAATTTTCATTCGAGAGAAATATTATTATTCGTAAACTAATGACTTCGCGTCTGCGTCTAATAAACTCTAACGGCGGGATTTAATGAGCAACAAGTAAGAATTTCTTGCCAATAACATCAATTAAATTTCCATCTTATTTTAGATATGTTTACATTAAATGAATCGATTTTAAAATTATTGTCTGATAATTTCTTAATAAAACATTTTATTTCATATTTTGCCTGTGATACAAAATTTTAACGGTGAATTCTTCTCGAAACAACTTCTTGAAATAAACCTATTTTGATTTGAAGACAAAATTTGTGTCGTGTAAAAGTAAACAGCAATAACTCATTTTTTATTTCTCATTATATTTTGAGGTTTTGTATTGAATAATCTTATTTTTGATCAAATCATAAAAAATACGTTTGCATATTTTTTCACAAAAATTGACATTTAGATTGTTGGTTATTGTTTTCAGGCATATAAAAATGCAAATAACTGTAAAATTTCTTATAAATGTGGTGATTCTAAACTATTTTTTTATTATGAAAATGATAAAGAAACTTACAATAAAGAATAACGCACCGTATTTGATTGTAATTTTCATTTCAAAATGATAAAGTCAGGAGGGGGGAATGACAGAAAGAGAATAACAAAGCCTAACCTTTTAAAATTGAAGAAAGAAGCATGGAAATGTTGAATAAAAAAATGAGTTAAAGAATAGATTTTTAATAAAAAGAATTGTTCCTCCAACTCCTATTCTCAGAGGGCGTGGTTTAATCATACAGAAACCGCCTACTGAAAAACGTCACTAACACGTAATCCAATAATGTCGCTTTTCTCAACAAGCATGAATTGTAAGCAAACGATGCCGCTCAGTGCCTTCCTTGGCTTCCAAGACGCGAAGGTGTGTGCTGTGAGACAGAAATTTCTCTTGTTTGTTGTTGTTATTGCCTATTATTTTGGCACGTATAGATTTCTGAGTGCGTGGACAGGTCCGCTTTGTTTACTTAAGTGGACCGGTGTTGTCTCCATGATCCGTGGATAGTTAACTCGCAGATGCTGGCAAATACTTCAAATATTCTACAGATGTGCAGGTAATTTACATTTACTTATTCTATTAAGGTAGATGTTAAACGATTTTGGGGTGTGCTGAACGTATTGAGTCACTAGAAAGGGGAGAGTCTCAATATTTGACAATATGCTTGTTAATCAGGGATTCCCAGCCTTATTCTATTTATTTATTTACAATAAAAATTCTATCTCGCATCGCTTTTGGGACTCGAGGATCTATTTTGAAATTAGTATTATTTACTAAATATTTACTATTGCTTAGTGAAACATGAGGTAATGCAAATGCAAAATAAAGTTAAGGACCAATTTCTCTTTTAAATTACATACCCATAAAATTTAAATTTACAAAAAGAACTTTAATTTTTATTTGAAAAGAAGTAATAGAAATTTTTATTTTGACGAGTTAGGAGATCAAAACTTTGTTGAAGAGCAAACGAACAGGCAAAAAACTTGTCTCTCAACAGGCAAACTCCCCAACCCAAATTCGGGTCGAGAGTGGTAGATTGGTAATTTCTGTCTGAAAGGTTAGTTATATGAGTGAATAGTATTACAAAAAATGTGAATTGCGAAAGAATATTTTAAATTAATTATGAAATGCCAACTTAGACTGTTCAACAATTTTTTGTTCTACTGCAAGTTGATGTTGTGCTTATGAGTTGTGTCAGTGTTTTTCAACAGTGTTTAAGGACACTAAAAATAACTGTAATTAGTTGTGGCACCGAATGAAAGAAATGAAAAAGATATATGATGAAAAAAAATATTAATTTACAAAATTTATTCAATGAAATGATTGAACACTTTCGGCCCATAAGACAAAATCTCAAGAGACACTGATCTAAGTTGTAAAGTTTACCTCTGTGTATTCTTGATGATATAAAATTTCATTTGCTGCAAAAATAGGAAGATAGTGCTAAAAGTTGACACGTTTTGAGGTCTCAAAAACAAATGCTCATTCTCAAAACTCGCCAATTATGAAGCAAGTGAAGTTTTTTATTATCAAGTATATCTTTCTACTTCTTTTTTTTAGGGGGAGGGGGAATATTCATTTTCCTATGCCTATTTTTACAAAGATTTTATAAAATCAATTAAACTAAGCGTTATGCATTTTTTTTTTGTTACTCTATTCAGTTTTGTAAAGCAGGGGTTCTCTTTAAACACTATATATAAAAAATTAAAATATTTTGCATCATGCAATAAATAGTGATCATAGATTTTTTCTGAGATTATCCATTCTGCTGTTATAAATCGCTCTAAATGCATTGTTGAGAAAATCACTTTCATAAATTAAGTTAAACAAATCTCTGGTGTAGGTATGAGAATATTTACTGTCAATAGAAATAGCTTCTTACCTTATTTATTTTGGTTGAAATTTAAAATTTAGGAACATATAATTCTTAAAGCAAATTTTCGGTCATCCAATCAAAGAATGGTTGACACAGATGTAAATTTTTCAATGTGCTTTTTCTGAAGGTACTGTAAATAATGAAGCATGCTTCTTTCAATTTCACACAGTGTAAAGGGAGAAAAGCCGCAAATTATGTTGCTTAAACAGACTGTCTGCTTATGTGACATTATGCTTTTTTTTAATATTGTTTTGATTTTAGGATTCAGTTAGTTCATAAATAAGTAATTGATCATCATATTAAATTAAAATTTGCATCTTGAATTCAAGAAAACAATTAGAGTTAATTCTTTAAATAGACTTGTGACTTCATTAGAAATTAAAATTCTAAAGTAGTCATGAATAGAATTTACAGAAAATAACACTTTAGACAATTTAGAAAATGCAAATTCTTTGGTTCGTTTGGTAGATTTTTAGATATTTATTTTATTTTACATATTTTTCACTTTGAAAATAGTTCCCACCAGTAATTTTTGGACTACAAATGCTAACAATGAGATACCAATGATTATGAAGTCCTATATATTTATTAGTTTATTATTATACAAGAAAAAATATAAACTCTATGATATAAACTATTCAACTCCGTAGACACCGATACAAATTATTCAGAGTGGGATGACAAATTATTCAGAATGTCAAAAGGTTGTAAAATTGGTATAGCATTTTCAGCATGAATTATTTGCAGAATTAGGTTTTTGGAACAAGGAAAGATCCTTTTAATGTTTTTTGTACGTTAAAGGAGCAAAGAATAACAATGCAAACTGTATTGATCAGATAATGTATAGATATATTACTCTGAAAATTAATAATTCTTTTTTGAAACTTCTTTTCCAAATATGTATAAATATTTTCTCCCACTATGTATGAGCAAATAACTTTTCACGATAGGATTTTAATAATTCTATTATACGCGGTCTAACACAACGATGCTTAAATATTTCAGAAGAAAATTTTAAATTTACTAATTTTTTCTTTTTCTGATAAGAATGTTTATTAACATATTTTTTGATCACAGTTCTTTTATTCAAGAAATATTTGTTCATAACAATCTATTTATCTAAAACATGTTCTAAGTTATAACCAAGGAATTTTCAAAGTTCAAGGATTGGATAACTTTTGATTACCTAAGTTTGTGCAATAGTACTTTTGAAAATTTCATCACATAAGTGATTCAAATTTAATAAGGATCTTTTTTTTCACAACCAAGAAGATAATAGATAAAAAAAATATATAGATGAAACTTATAATTATAAATAGAAATTTTTTTATTATAATTACACTTTTGCATTATTAACTTCTATGCATAAATATAAAAATTGTTTCTTCTGCATCACTATACAATACAATAAAACTTTTACCTGCTTGACTCGACTTATATTTGACTGTATTAAGTGGGTGTTTTATTCCTTTAGCTACAAATTTTGTTTAAAAATGTAACAATTATATGATTTATGAATGAGAACCAAATATGGATTTAAATATAATTAAAACATTTTGCTGGATGCCAATGCCAGTCTAAGATAAATGCTAATAATTTAGTAATTGAGCTACTAGTTTTCATCCTTTCGAAAAAGAGACATAATCCAAAAATGAAACTTTGGTGTTTAAGTGGTTAAGCAACAGCAATTTATTGTACTTATGCACCAGTAAAAAATTAAATCATGTAGACATAGACAGTTTGTAAACTCCCTGATGGTTAATAGAAGCTTATTGTCATTAAATTTTCACTAACGGAATCATGTATACATGATAACACTGAGATTTCTTCGGTTATCTGATTAACGACTGTCGATTATTGGAATCAAAAGACTTTTTTCACTGATGGAAATTTATTAAAAGCGAAATAAAGTTGTTGAATCGAATGGTCAGACACATGTAAGAAAAGTGCTTGTTTTATTTTGTTTTCTACCTAAACTGTTTGGAATAAAAACACTTTTTAATTTATTTAAAGTTATCTTTAGTAATATTAAATTTGAATAAAAATAGTTTGACTCACTCTAGTAAAATTCTTAGTTAAAAATGAAATATATTTGTTGTAGATGAATTCCATTGCGTATCTAAACTAATGATGCTCTTACAAACTAAGAAAATGTCATCCAATTTTTTAAGCTATAGAGAAAATGATGATTATTAGTGAATTCCTTGGAATCATTGGAAGTGACTCATTAAAATGATTAGTGAACTCATTAAAGTATCGATGCTATCACATTAAACGACGGACTATAACAATACTGTTGAAAATTTTTCTGACATTTTTTTTGGTCTTCGATTTTTCGGTCCTAGAGTATAGAACTATGAATGCATTTAAAAATTTTTGAAAAAATCTAATGGTTTATTCTGTTTCTTTTATTAATTTTCCTTTAAGTAAAAATATAACACCTGCAAAATTAACCAATTTGTAATTTCAATTTCTGTTCATTTTGATTATTTGAAAATCATTAGTTCTTCGAATTAATAAATATCTGTCTTTCTAATGGATTATATTTCCTCATTCTTAAGCTCCGTTAGAAGATAGCTTCCGTACACCACGGTGTGTGTTGAGGGTGTCCCGCCCTTTGTCGTGCATGCGTGATTTCACGGTCCGCCGCGCGTGACAACATCGGCATCTTTTTCTTCTCCACCCGCACTCATCCGATTTCTCCTTAGCATGCTCCTCATCTCTGCGGGCATCCTAAGATCCTCACCGCATCCAGAATTATTTTCATTTCATTAGAGAAAGTGCAGTAGCAATAAAGTTCTTTTTTTTATTCTGAAAAAAGATTAAACATGTACAATGTTTTCAATATCCACAATTATATTTTTAACTATACTTTCCAAAAATTTATTGTACAAATTTATTTCACCTTAATTAAGTGTAAAATTAATTTGTTTCACCACAGCATAATATCGAGTAAACAAATCCGTAAAATGTAATATTTTTTTAAAGCGCAATGTGAAAGTTGTAACAAATAAATTTGAAAGACATTATTATTCAGCAACGATCCCAAGTTTCTATAAGAGGGAAGCATTTTATAAAAGTAGCATTGTTTTGCCATTATTTGTTTCATTTTCTGTCTCTTTTTAAATTTAAATCTCAAAATTATACATATATATGTGGTGAAATGCAAAATAAAAAAGAGAAGAAAAAAAGAAAACGTAATTAATAATTTTCAAAACTCTTAAAAAGCGAAAGAAAATGAGACAGATAATGGCAAAACAATGCTACTTTTACGAAATGCTTCCCTGTTATAGAAACTTGAGAGCGTTGCTGAACCATAATATCTTTCAAATTCATTTGTTGTAATCTTTACATTGCGCTTGAAAAAAATTGTCGCACACATTTTACAGATTTGTATACTTGTTATTATGGTTTAAGTTGAGGGGAAACTTCAACAAGGGGAACATATATATATATATATATATATTTTTTTTCTGAATTAGTAAAGNTGAGCTATATATATATATATATATCTATAGCGTTCTTCAAATTTTTACTTTAAAATTTTTTTAATAACTATATTTGCAAAAAAAAAGGTATCCTTTGGAAGGCAATGATTTAAATTTTAAATTTAATAAGCTGCTGTACCCATGAAAACTATTTCAAGTTTCCTTATAAGAAGAGAGAATGATGCAAAAGAA